TCACATTTTTTTAAAATTGGAAATAATTGAAAGATTATTGGGGAGATTCATCTTTGGAGGTCATTTAAAAAAAAAAACATTGACCAATTCAGAAATTTTAGCTCATGGTTGTTTTGAACTTAGATTGACATAGGATTTGGTCTAGGTGGCATGTTTTGGGAATGAACTAACTCTAAATCTGGGTAATCCACACTCATCCCAGCCGAGGATGGAAAATAAATGTGCATTGATACACACATATTGTATTAATGTATCCAATTTGTGATATGAAAGACCCTTAATGAAAACATATATAATTCAGTTTCTTGTCATCAAGGACAAGAGCACCAAATTCTTTTGTGTGCTTTTGTGCCTTATTCTTTTTTGAATTATACAGGTCAATGCATGTGACTAAAAATCAATATACCGTATTTTCCGGCGTATAAGACGACCCACGTATAAGACGACCCCCCATTTTTCCAGTCAAAATATAGAGTTTTAGCACCTCTATCCTCATTATCCTTATATCCGGCGTATAAGACGACCCCCCCCACTTTAGCCACAGATTTTGCAGGTAAAAAAGTAGTCTTATACACAAGAAAATAAGGTATTTGGAAAAAATATACTTTAGTCAATGGGGAAAACCATAATATATGTATATTAGGAAAGTTGCATATCAAGATATTCAGAAATTGCAGGAAGGGCTAGGAAAAAGTATCACAGTGCAGTGCAGAACTTGGATAAAGCAGAAATATTGGTGGGATTGTAAGAAATGCAGTGAAACCAAAACTGGCATTATAAGTGAATTCCTATATATAGTACTTGTTGATGTGTGTCTTCAAGTTATTCCCAACTTATGGTATCCCTAAGGCAAACCTATCATGGAGTATTCAGGAGCTGAGAATATGGTGACTTGCCCAAGGTCACCTGATGTGTTTCCATGGCAGAGCAGATAATCAAACTACTCTACAGAGTTGTAGTCCAATACTCTAATCACTACACCATGCTAGCTCTCTATATACTTACTGTAGCATAAATATACACCAACAAAAATCCATTGGATCCCACAAATACACATAAAACTATGCAGCAACCACCAAGGTCATGAGCCTATGAACTGCACAATTAACCTTCTGTAGTGGTCAGTTTTCCCTTCCAAGTGAGAGAGGGCTGGTTGTGTGTTTGCACAATTATTGGGAGCACACATATATAATTATTGAGAAAGCACAACTGCTTGTTTACTAATTTTTTACTCACGTTTCCCCAATAGGAGTCTAGCCATTTTCACATCCCTAGCCACAACACACTTCCAGCATGCATTGATTCCTTCTGCACCCCGAATAATACCAACAGTGGTAGAGCTTTCTATAGACATACTGGGGGATTTCTGGCATAAGTGTTTGGTCACTGAAGCTGTTTCCTCCCCACTGTTAAAGTACCACATACATTTAATCACTGGTGCTGATCTCTCCCTCCCTCATTGGCATTGCACTTACACTGCATTGTAGGGCCCGGGTGACCAGAGTTCCTCCAGTTCCCAGACATGTTCTACATTTCAATCTTAATGGCCAGGAACCAAGAGGAATTCCAAGATGTCCTCCATTTTCAGTAATAAAATCTGTCCTTATGTCATCTGGTACCTCAGCAGGCAAGCGAGAGGTAGTTCAACAGATTTAGTACTCCCACTGCTGCTGCAAAGGAAGTAATTTTCGCCAACCAATAAACATGACCAAAATGTTTAGCCTGCAACAATACACCCTAATGACTACAGAAAAACTGTTGAGCAGCATGATCCAGCATATGGGGAAAGGAGAAAGAGTGAGAAGACTGTCGCTGACCATGTGGTTATTTTGTTTAAGTGTGTGTGTGTGTGTGTGTGTGTGTGTGTGTGTGTGTGTGTGTGTTTTCTGATGGAGGTGTGGAAAGGAAAAGAGGACCTGGGTTGTTGAAGCAGATCAGTGGAACCAAAGAGAAGGGAAGGGGGTAAAAGTGTGCTCTATGGTTTGAGAAAGAAGCAGAAGGGATGAGAGAGCAAATGGGAAAACTACAAATGGAAGTAATAATTTAAATGTAGATTCAGTCAAGAGTTTGATGCTATTAAAGTACAATTTTAAGCATTTGTTTTACTCAGGTAAAGTATATTGCAGGCCAACAAGGCATTTTAATGAAGACACATCCATCAGATTTATGGCTGAGTACATAATAAAATACAGTATATATAATGTAGCTATATATAAACCATATAAAATGTTTTTTTTAGCTTTTATTTGGTAATGCCCTACATTTTTCTTGATTGTCCCATATTAAGTGGTGCCTTGTCCTCCTTTGCATTTATGACATCTGGTCACCATGTGTAGGGCCATGTATGTGGCTGTTATATTGCTATAGCACTGCATACTAAATTAAAAGAACTGGCCTTTTAATTTTTGCAATTAAATTAAAATTTTAAATTTAAGGAAATTTAAAAATGCATGGAGGGGGAAAGCTATATCATCATCTTGCTGGAAGGAATTCGACAGCTGAATACACTGTCTGAATTTAAAAGAGCATAAAAGACCACTTTCTTCTAGCAGGATTACCAAGATGATTTTTAAATTGCTAATTTTAAATGTGGACTCTTTTAATATGTGTACAGCTTATTTGTCCTTTTAAACTGATGCATGTTTTAACTGATTTCTTATGAACTGATGTTGGTCTGTTAATTGTTGTTCTGACTTGATCCATGGAGATAGGTTGGTTGTTGTTTGCCAAAAGCCTGCTTGAATAAAATCTTCTTTGCCTGCAGGTGGAAGGACAACAGGTAGGCTGCTATCCAAGTACAAGATCTTATATTGGATGTACCTTGTATTGGGCATATCTATCCTTGTAGAGGTCTGAAATTATTTTTTAAAGAACTGGAAAACTGAAGAAATGTACCTAAACAGGTGTACTTATCTTTAATTTTCTTTTGATGAAATGTAAGACAAAGGGGAAAATAACAGTGAAGAACTCTGGAGATTATTGCATTACCTTTGCAGGATGTAACTTTAAGAAGGCAGATTGTCCAAAGGAGGACCACTAAAACGGTGAAGGGTCTGGAAACCGAGCCCTATGAGGAACGACATAGGGAGCTGGGGATGTTTAGCCTGGAGAAGAGAAGGTTGAGAGGTGATATGATAGCCATGTTTAAATATTTTAAGGGATGTCATATTGAGGAGGGAACAAGCTTGTTTTCTGCTGCTCCAGAGACTAGGACCCGAAACAATGGATGTAAGCTCCAGGAAAAGAGATTCCACCTCAACATTAGGGGAAACTTCCTGACAGTAAGGGCGGTTTGACAGTGGAACACACTCCCTCGGAGTGTGGTGGAGTCTCCTTCCTTGGAGGTCTTTAAGCAGAGGCTGGATGGCCATCTATCGGGGATGCTTTGATTGGAAGTTCCTGCATGGCAGGGCGTTGGACTGGATGGCCCTTGTGGTCTCTTCCAACTCTATGATTCTATGATTCTATGATTGCATCTCATTCACCCATTGCTGGGCAGCAGGCAGCCCGTTTTAAATCCAGGCTTCTCTGGGCTTCTCTCGCATCTTTTCATGAAAAGCTGCAGCAGAAGCCTGGGTGACTGGTGAATGTGATAAGATCCGCCTTCTTAAAGTTGCATCCCACATCTATGCTGGGAGCAAAGGTAATATGATAATCTCCTAAAATGGCAATCTTTGCTTTCAACCTTTGTGTATGCCTAGTTGCCTTTATAGTTTAAGGTGAGAGGGATGAGGCCTGAGAAGGACTCTGGTCATGCCTGTTTAAAAACAGATGGGAGTGGTCTGCACTTCAAGTCCCAAGTGAACTACTAGATGTAGGGTTATGCTAGTTGATGGGACATCAGATGGGAGACATAGATAAAAGGAAAATGGAAAAGAGTAGGGAGAAAAATAAAGGGAGGTCTGGGCGAACAGCAACAGCCATGTATGCCTGCATATAGTGTGTGTTAATAACTGGAAAAGAGAAAAGAGAAAGAAAAATCTTCCTTCAGCACTCGCAAGAAGCAATCAATATCTTAGATAGGAATGCAAGCAAAAGAATGTGAAGCTGCAATGTGTACATAAACAACCTAAAGGAATTTGAACAGGTAGTCTCAGAGCCCCTGTCTCTAAAATGGTAAAATGTGGGCTAGACCTGTGCTACACAAAATGATGGTCCATGGACAAGTGCCAGTCTCTGAGCATTGGCTGTTGGTCCCTGGAAAGTTTCTAAAGAATTTATCAGACAGGAGAGATCCTGTGCAGAAATGGGGGGTTTAATAGGAAAAAAAAACCCGCAAAAGCAGGTAGATTTTCAGACAATGTCGCTGTTAAAATGTGATTAACCTGAAAAAGAAAGTAGTCAAAAGTTGCTTCTTTTTACTTTGGGAAAATCTGGAAAGTAAAAAGGAATGGCTTTTGACTACTTTCTGTTTGGGGTAACCACACTTTAACAGCAATGTATGCGAAAATCTACCTGATTTTGTGGGTTTTTCCACCTTTTAAATCCCATTTCTGCATGGGATTTTCCCCATGTGATAGGTCCTAAGAAAGAAAGAAACTATTGTAACCTGTGGGTACTGGTCCTTGGCATGTTTTTTTTTTAAAAAAAAAACAACAAACAAAAAAACCTTGAAGCTCCTCACATCAGATTGCTAGCGAAGTGCTGGGTGAGATAATGATACTTATGGATTTCGAGCTGATTGAAAGACCAAACCCAGAGTGTTCACAAGTAGTTCCTCATCATCCTGGGACAAGGTAATGAGTGATGTAACTCAGTGTGTTCAACACCATTATAAATGACTTGGGTGAAAAGAATGGGCATACTTATCAAATTTGTGGATTTGCAGATTGCAAATTTGTAAATCTGAAAATTATGAAAAGGTACTGAACTGGGAGCGGTAGCTAATACCTCTGAAGACAGAATCAAAATTTAAGAAACATTAACAGATTGAAGAACTCTGCCAAAACTAACAAATCCATTTTTAGGAGAGATAAATGTAAGGTACTATATTTAGGAGAGCAAGTGTGGTGTAGTGGTTTGAATGTTGGACTAGGATTCCAATAGACCAAGGTTCAAATCCCCACTTGGCCATGGAAACTCATTGAGTGACCTTGGGCAAGTCATACTCTCTCAGCCTCAGAAGAAGGTAATGGCAAACTCTCTCTGAAGAAATCTTGCCAGGAAACCCAGTGATAGGTCCTAGCATAAGCCAGAAATGACTTGAAGGCACACATCAACTATTATTGTTATTACTCCATTTGGGCAGGAAAAACTAGATACAAAAATATTGGGTGGAAAACACTTTATTGTAAGCAGCACATGTGAAAAGAATTTGGTGTAGGAAAAATTACCAATGCAGTTCTAGGTTGTACCAACAAAACTAGCATTCAGATTAAGATAAATATTAGTACCACTCTATTCTACTTAGGTCAGACTTCAATTGGAGTATGTGTCCAGTTCTGCGCAACACAGATTAAGAAGGATATCAGAAGAAGCTTACACAGAAGAGGGCAACCAAGATGGTAAAAGATTGGAAACAAAATCCTATTGGAAAGTGGCAGTAGTTCTGCCATGGTGGAATTAGTTTCCCACCAACAATAACATAGAATTACTCTGTTACTCATATTATTCTTGCTATAACAGTGGCTACATTCACTGGCTCTCTGAATAAATGTATAAGTAGTTGTAATACTATTGTTGTGAAATCCATTATAGTTACTTCTTATATCATTTGGGAGTCCTTTTTTATTCAGAAAATGATTCTGGCCCAATATAGTAGGTTTCTAACTTATGTATTTCTTGCTGAAATGTTTTAGGAGACAAAATAATTTAATGGCGCTATACTAAACATCATGATTTAATCAAAATGACAAAATGTGACTTATACAGGAAGCATGCTACTTTTAAAAAGATACTTATGTTGACTTTAGTCCCTTGTGAATTAAACCATTTAAAACACGAAATGGAAAAAGTCCCCCTAATCTTCTTTTTGAATGAGCCGTGAAATAGGATCCATGAACTGCCTGAAGTGTGAAGAGGTTAGCATGGCTGGGTTCCAAGATCTTTCTATGAGATATTAGGAGATTTATTCTCAGCTGAAAAGCTATGGGGAAAATGGTCATAATTTTTTATAAAACCAGAACGTACATCTAAAAATACCTGCACATGTTCACTGTGGAGAGTTTTGGAAACTTAAAATCCTTCTTGGAAATGTGCATAAAATATCACAGGCTTGCAGATGTATTATATACTTGGTTATAAATTATTCCCATAAATGTACAAGCAAATGGTTGTTTAATTCACTTGGTTTAGTTCTGAAAACTGTATTGCAGTTGTTTTTCTTTCTCATCTAAGAAAGGCCCAAGGTCAACTCCTGAATAGAGTATCTACAGTACATTATGTTCAACTCCTTATCCATTGAATGGAAATCTTCTCTTATTAATTTATGATATGGTTGGTGCCTCCCATGTCAGTAGGGTGGTGAATCCAGTCTTGGTTTTAGACTAAATTTTCAAGGAGCTATACAAGGTGCTGATTGTATTATTGGCATAGGATTCAACACCTCCATTAACTTCTTTAAAATCCACCCTAAAGCATGGAGTAGATCCACCACTCTATCAGTCATCACCAGGCATGGCTTACCTGCAGATTCTACATTAAACTTTATGGGTTATTCAATAGGGCAACTTTTCCCCCTCCTGGTGTTCTACAGAAATTTTAGATTGAACATCCTATCATCCCCCACTCAGAATTGTGTTCCAACATATCTTGAGGTTACCAGACTGGGGAAAAACTACAATAGTAGGAAGAATTCATAATTCATACTTTTAAAAAGTATCATAAAGAAAGAACTGTATGAGCTTCCCCAGGCAGTGGCATCCCTAGGGTTGGTGTCACCCAGTGCAGTCACTCATGGGGGGAGCAGGACTTATGGGGGCAAGACATTTGGTGTGCGACTTCTGGTGCACATCTGGTGTGCACGCCTCTGGGGATGCCCCATGCATCTCCAGAGAGCAGCCGCAGGGCCCAAGGAGGAATCTTTCAGCCCTGCCATACCCCCCGGGAGTAGCCATGGGGCTGAGGGAGGGCTGGGGACTGACCAAGTGTCACCCCCCTCTTCTGGGGTGTCACCTCCCACACCTTCCCAGTGACACTACTGTCCTCAGGTGAGAGTATATGATAATCACACATTATGGATAAGTTAATATAGAAAAGGCTATTCTTTAGTTTCCACCTAAACCATTTAGTGAAACACATATATTCTTGTTCAGGGGTTCTATTTGGAGCCTGAATAAAACACAAATCCAAATTAACACCTGGTGTGTTTTTTTAATCAGATAGTGAATGTGCAGACAAGTTTACTACTAAATCTGATTGCAATGTCAACATGAAGGATTAATGAAAAAAAACCTTTGTATGGACAGAGCATAGTCTTTCCAAGAATAGGTGCCTATTTTGTGTCTTATCTTTTGCAGTAACATGCAATCCTGTTCAACTCTAACTAGCATCCATATGTAGATATACTAGAAAAATCAGTGCAAGAATTCTAATACATATTTTTTATTTTCATGGTTTTGAATTCACATTAAAAATGGGTAATTTTCCCCCTCATTTCTTCCTTTGACCTTTTTCTGTCTTGGAAAATGTCCCCTATCTCCCACTTATGCAAATTCATAATAATTTAAATTTCTGTTATACTGGGTAGTAGAGTAATTCCAAACATTATATACTGCAGGAAGAACCAAGATCTGTCACATCTTTTTTAACTATATGTTGTTGTATAATTATGCAAATGCAATGTCCAGGCAATAAATACTGGCCTATATAATTGAATAGTCTTTGCCACTTTTGCATGATTATTTGCTGCAAATGTTTTAAACTCAGTGGTTCAGTTTCCATTCAGACAAGCAAGTCCCCTGCCCCTGCAAAACTTTTCATTTGCATCTAAAAAGCTGAACAGTAACTGTTTGCAGCAATGCTGAGATAAAAACCCATTGACTCAGCTCAACCATAGATTTATTTCTACATTCAGGAGGAGAATTTGGAGGCTACAGTGCTTTTGAAGTAGAGGCCAAAAACATCCACCCATGATAAATCAGAGATCTAGTCATGATTGACCTTTCTTTCTGAGGTCTACAGCTGGAAAAATGTCAGAGCTATTACATACTGGTTAGTAGGCACAAGTAGATGCAACAAAGGGTGGCATGGTGATACTGGGGCACTTCTAACTTCAACACCTTTCTGGAAAGATGCAGAAACAGCTGTTTTATCAAGATAACAACATGGAAAGTAGGGCATGATACAATCTCTGAATATTTTCCTCTGTAAATCAGCAAATAGTTGGCTTTGTATATGACCTTGTGTTAAGTACAACTCCCTTGTAAGAAAGCTGTAGGAGTATATTCTAATTACAAATATATTGATCATTCAAAATAAAAGAAATTATGGAAACAATACTCATACAGTTTGTGTACAGGCATTCTGTACATTCACTGTACCTTTGTGCACTTTTATATCATGAGCTTTGTTCCCTGGTATTTTTAGCAGGAGTTTTATAGGAACTGATTTTGGACTTGACTGTAATTGCACTACTTGCCATTAGTTTATAAATGGCTAGTCATTGACCTTGTCCATCTTTGACATGTTTGGCAGTCTCCAAGAACATTGAAATGCATCCAGATACACATAGGAAATGTGAGTTCTGGTGATGTCCAGATACTAAGGAGCTTGGAGTTTATATATTTCCAATATTCTTTTTTTTAATGTACAAGTATTGTTTTTCTTTGGATTTGTGGAAATGTTGATCTTGCCTATGTCTGTCATAATGTCTAGTTCCATGAAGAGTGATTAACACTATCCAATATTTATTCTTTCCTCTGCTTCCACAGTACTGAAGTCAGTTCTTCATCAAAAATTGGACCATACATACATAGCCACATGCAACATGCATATCAACAGGCTTGAGGAAATCTCAAGGTTTTCATAGGTACCAAACTCCATCCCTTCACATAAAGAATACCCAGAGGAAACTCCCTAACAGTCTAGTGAGTGTGGTTTGTGATGTAGGAGATTATCACATGGGAGGAAAGTGTCCTTCTCCCATCCTTAAACCATGTTAGTCACGTGATCGGGGGAAGATTATCACACCCCTGCGCATTTATCCCATTCTTCTCGCATCCGTAAACAGTAATGGACCCATCATTTGGTACTGACAGAAATTCCTGTCATTTGGTAATAACAGGAACTCCCGTTAATACCAAATGATGGGTCCATTACTGTTTACAAATGGGAGAAGAATGGGATAAGCATGCAAGGATGTGATAATCTTCCCCCTGATCACGTGAATAACATGGATTAAGGATGGGGAAAGGACACTTTGGAGTTCTGTGTGATAATCTCCAATGACATACTGAATTATTATGGAGGAAGTAATAATTGGTTGTATATCTTCCAACATTTCATAATTGAAAACTGGGACATGTCTGGCCAAGCAACATCAGATTGTGGTTCAAGATGTCAAAAATTTTAATTTGGAATCTAGGAGAGGCTGCAACAGTTTGCTTTTGCCTGAGTTTACCAGGAAGGAGCTGATTCCATCCCTTCCTCTATTCTCCCACCAGCTGGGTTAAAAGTGTGGAAATTACTTTTGCACTATGAACTCAGTTTTCAGCATTTTAAGAAAGCTGAGGACAAATGTGAAAAATAAGAAGAAGAGAAAAAACTGGGACATTTTTAAAGCAGCTGAAAAAGAGGGATGACAGATGTTTAACTGAGACACACCCTGCCAAATCAGGACAGTTGGAGGATTTGGTTAAGTGATTGACTACCACAGTGAACAAAAGCACTCCACATTGCAACATTTTGCTGCAGGTCCCATTTCTTCTTAGGAAAGTATCCAATTCATATTTAAATAAAGTACCATATATAAAAGAACCTCTGTGGCCTATAATAGCAGTCTCTTTGTCCTTTTGTCGGATTAGGTATCTGAGTTTTATGAAACAATTTCATTGTTTGTCCCTTGCTGCATTATTTATGATGGCATATTATGCACATACAGTTCATTGAATTTAGATTTATACTGGCAGACAG